GGGGGACCGGAGGTCACGTGAGAGGTCAGGGCCCAGGAAGAGATGTGAGACCTCGACGGACAGATACTCATTGAGTATCTACTCCCTGGGGGACAGTAGGCGATGCTATATAAAGCATGACTTTACAGGACCTGCAGCGATGGCACATATGGAGGGGTATTTATTAAAATTCTATTTAAAAAAAAAAAAAGAATTTCCAAAACCATAAAATAGGGTTAAAGCACGTGGAATATAGGATAACTGACTTAAAATCTACATGAGGAGTAATTTATTAGGAGGAGAAAGACTGCCAGAGACCTGGAATACGACAGTGATGGCTACTGAGCACTTTTAGATCTAAGTCCTGGGTACCCGGGGCTAAGAAATGGCCGGGTTTATACAGTGTACATTATTAGATTAAAGGAAGCAGACTTGTCTGGAGAGAGAGGCTGCTTGCTACAAATTCGAGGGTGCGTTGGCACTGCAATCCTCATAAAATGATACTATAATGGACGACCTCGTTAACCCTTGAAATGCAGTTTCGAAGAAGACACAGTAACCTTTTAAAATGGTCAATCTTTGGTAAAAAGCAAAGGCATGGCATTAATTGGTCAGTGATGAAGGCATTTTTGCAGGCTTCTTACTTACTGTGATGCAGTAAGTAAGCGCAGCGTCCTGGAGAGCAAATTTTAAATGGTGATAAAGCTTAGAGAACCGAAATGAACGTAAGGTTGCTTGTCCGTTAGCCCTCACTGCTCATACATGTTATTTCTGCTTTACTTTGGGCAGTGCCCGTGTGACAAGTGTTGACAGGCCTCACAGTCTGGGGTCATTAATCCAGGACAGCACCATTGTCGTCCTACTGGAGGTTCCCGAGCTTTCGTGTGCACAGGAATTGCGAAGGATGCTCATTGAAACTATATATCCCAGGGTCGTGCCCCTAAGGGATTCTGATTTAGTGCATGTAGAATGGGGCCCAGAAATCTGCATGTTCATGGGCATGCCAGTGAACTTGAGGCAGGTGGTGCTCAAGTCACACTTCCAGAAACACTGATAGAACTCAGATGAGTTGACGGCAAAGTTATAAAAACTAGGGAGAGTTATTTGTATTTTCGCCTCTGAATAGAATGGAGCAGGAGGTTGCTTTTGGGTTCACCAAAATATTTCAGAGGAAGAACTTTTTATCTGCGTCAGTGTTTAGACAAGTATTGAGAACCCAAAGTTTGTTTCATAAAGCACGAAATTTTTTTTTGCCTGAAGATGTATGGCCAGCATCTTACTCAGCTGTCAAAACAAAGCACACAGAGCGGGCGGGTTTAGACAACAGAAATGCGTTTTCTCACAGTTCTGGTGCCCGGAAGTCCGAGATCACGGTGCCGGCGTGGTCAGGTTCTGGCTTCCTGGCCTGCAGAGGGCTGTTGCCACTTCGTCCTCACATGGCAGAGAGGGGGCCGAGCAGAGCTAGCAAGGCCTCTGGTGTCTCTTCTCACAAAGGTGACTCCATCACCGGGGCTGTACCCGCATAAATTCACCGCACACGGGTTCTCTCCGAATACCATCACGTCAGAGGTTAGGGCTTCACATAGGGGTGTGTGGGGGACACAGTTCAGTCCATGGCAGTCAGGTATTCCCAGCCACGTACATGAGCCACGAAGGAGCTTGCGCACGGCGCTCACGGAGCATCTGATTTAGGTCAGTGGTTCTCCGGGGCTCTACCAGAAAGAAGGCCTCGCAGTGCCGGGTGAGTTGACCTATCGGAAGGGGATCTGAGGGCACTGCTAACGTTAAGCATCCTCTCCTCTTCACCCCCATTCCTTCTTTATGTTTCATGCTAGAGGAGATGCATCACCAAGACCGGCCGAGACTGGGGCCATGTTTATGCCTTGTGGACGGACGGTCTGAAGGTGACTCCTGCCATTCGGTCAGTCCAGATTAGTGAAGCTTATCTCAATACTGGAAGGAAGGCTTTAAAAAAAAAAAAAAGACACTTCCCATGTGGAGTCACCATGGAGATAAGTCACATTAAGTCAGCGCTTTTATTTTGAAATTGTGGTATAACTTGTTCTAATTGAGAAATCTGACTTCACACTTAACTCAGTGTTAGAATCTTTTAAAGACAATCAAAATGACTCATGTGACTTGCATTGTATAGTACTAAAATCCACATTTTGGCTTACATACAGAGTATGGAGGTATATGTTCAGAAAGAAGAAAAAATACTAAGAAAAAGTTTAAAATACCATGAAATGCAGAGAAAAAAAATTCATGAAAGAATAATTTTTCTAGTATTTTCAGATCACCCTCTTTTGGAAGAAAAGGTGGGGTTTTTATAAGTGATTTTCTTTGTAGGTAGCAATCATTAGATAAAAAGTCCTTTCCATTAAGATGTGACACTAACTAATAATGAGTGTTTTCCCCAAAGATACTGATCTGAGTTTAGATTGGAATTCTTCAGACATATGTACTCCGTATATATATTCTGTAGTTATGATGTCAACATATTAGCAACGGTAAGCACAAAATTCATCTTTCATACAACATGGAAATTCTAGCCATTTGAAGAGTACCAGTTTGTTAGCTTAATAGTGAAGAGATTAACCAATGAAGTCAATACTATTAATATAATAAAATATACTTATTACAGTGACACTATAAGATTTGTTTAGAACCCTTTTCATACAGTTCAGTCTCAAAGTTCTCTTCTATGCAGATCAATGAATGCCATTGTCCAGTTCTTGTCCACCTAAAATCATCATCATGCCACCCACACGTAGCACACACAGACACACACACAGACGCGCACACACAGTGATGCACATACAAAAACACACAGATACACACAAACACAAACACACCCCAGTGGACCCTGCACCTCCCCGTCTCCCACACACCACACACTACACACCGCACACGCCTCACTCCACACGCCACCCTGCACAACACACACCCAGACCCTACTAACTAATTATAGTCAAACATAGGGCATTTATTTAGCTTCAGAAAGATTATACTGGAATGGTTGCCAATAAGTACCTGTATTTAAAAGTTTTTGTCAACGAGGAGATTAAAATAAAATTTAAAACATGAATTTTATTTTTTAATAAAAATATTCAAACTGTGCAAACTGCTCAAATGTGCAAAAAGTCCTACTCTCCAGAGCCCAGGCATTAAAAGCTGCCCGTGTTGCTTTCTAGAAACTGCTGCAAACACACATATGCATGTTGTGTGCATACGCATGCGTATGGATACATGCGTATGTAAATGTGTGTATGTAAAGACTATTTAACTTTTAAAGGGCTCGCCCAACACCAGTCAAGCAGGTAGAAGGGGGTGCCAGTCACAGCACTCTGCCCCGAACACGGTCACAAGCCTCTGTGGGGACCTCTTTGGTTTCCTCGCCTCTGTAGAGCGAGGCTTGCCTGGCCACATGTCCTCGGTCTCTGCCCATGGCATCTGTGCTCCTCTCTTGGGCTGAGGTCCACAGAGCTGAGGTCTGAGTAGGGGCTGGTCGCCACCTCTGCCCTCCTGCCGGAGATGCTCCCTAATGTCCACCTAAATGTTCACCTCAGAGCCCCAGGGAGGCCAATGTCCTCTCTCGTTTTCAACCCCCGACTCTGAGTACTATTTTGTCAATGGCGGAAGGTGTTGCTGGAATACATATTATGGAAGGAAAGCATTTTTGGATAGCCACTCACTTTCGTTGCTCTTATTGGCTTCAAAAGTCAATAATGTGAAAAGAGCTTTATCTGGTACCTTTGGTGGTACGACTCATACAAAAAACAAAAACCACAGATTTTTTT